TGAAGTAATAACTTTGCTTCTCTTACAGTTCTCGCAAGTCTGGGGGCAGCAGCGGGAGTGGAGAAGTTGGTCGTGGAACGCCGAGGCACAAGGCAACTGGAGGAAGCACCCCCAGACACTCCAGAAAGAACAGAGACACTTCACGGGACTCCACCATTATTTCTGCCCCAGAGATCGGTTACGACAATATGATCAGCATGGTAGAGTTTGATCCAGGCCACAGGGAGATGGCAGTGGATGTGCCGGACTCCTTTGTAGCACGAACCAAAACCCCACCAAGGTATGTATTGCTGTTATTAAATTTTTTATTTTTTTATTTGTTATTATTATTTTTTATTGTTATTTTACTTTTTTTTTGTGTGTGTGTGTGTGTGATTTTGACATCAGATTTACCAAGATTTATAAGAGTTTGGTGTGTGTGAACAGATAGATAGATTTAGCGTTTATTCTATATAGAATTTTTTTTCAAATTGAACTTAAAGACTCCTCCAATTCCAAATTTAGATTGTGAGTACTGATTACTGCAACAACTATGAAAGTGATTTCAAAACTTCTGGCAATGCCTCTAGCGATAAAAAAAAAAAAAAAAATAGAAATAGAAAGAGAGGTAGAGGTACCACAGTTTGCTATAGAGCCATTTCAGAACAATGGTGATGGTTGGTAGTCCTCGTTATATTCTAGCGAAGGACGATTTAGAATTTTCGCTACCTAGTATTTCCCATTTGCTTTTTTTTTTTTTATTTTAATCTTCTTGATTTTTTGTGTTTATTTGTATAATACTTTTTCCTTCTCAAAGTAATGAACTGTGTGTACTTGACTATTTTACTGTTAGCATTTTGTTCATACTTGTAGAGATGGTACTTATTGATATTATATATAAGGATGCACAGTCCATCATAGTATTACTTTATTGACCTCTTTTGCTTGGATATAGATGGCTTCACAAGCACTTGTTGCCAAGGTGTTCAGTACTAGGTCTATTTAACCTGAGTTATTTCCTCCACTCCTTGATTTTTTTCTGGGTGAAAAATTCACTTCACTTCTTATGTAATATTAATGTTATTTTTTAATGATTTTATGTATATAGGTGAGGGTGATAATAATAATATATTTTTTCCTGGAAATGCAAGGAGTGGGACAGATAAGTAAGGTCAGATAAGCCTGGTATTTGATTTCTTGGTGATTAACCACTTGTAAAAGAATATGTGTGGAAAAGAAAATAAAACTAAATAATAGTGGACGGTGTATGTGCAGATACCCTCTCAGCATCAGTTAGTTATATATCATTTCTGCTTGGTTTCCAGTGTACATTGAGTTCCACAAAAGGAGGATATTGTGGCTGTTTGTCCATTGCAAAGATAAACTAAGGGGTACTGACATATAGTCCTCTAAAAAGGAAAACTTAGGTGACTTGACTTTCATCATTTCTTCAACTTTCTACTTTTCTTTTAATTCTTAAGGTCATCCACCATAAAACTCAGGGCCAAACTATCACCCCAATCCACAACAACAACAACAACAGCAGCAAGAGCAGCAAGAAGGGAGGGTCCTCGGGCAGTGCCACGCCACAGAATGGAACCTTGCCCAAACCAGCACCACAGCCTTCAATCCCCCCACAGCCCCTCTCACCACCTCAAGTTCCCACCCCAGAAGGGTTGATAGCAAATGCCTTTCTTCGCAAAGAGGAGAGATGAGGAATATGAGGAAATATGAATAAAGATTTGTTATGGTGTGTGTGAAAAAGGATGAAATGATATGAAATGTTTTGCTTTTGCTTTTTGTATCTGAGTAACCAAAACTGAATGGTAATTATACACTCTTTGCCTGAATAGGAGGAGTTAAAGCTTCGAAGGGAACGTGAGGAGCAAGAGGCTATGCTGAGGTCGTCTTTGCGTTCCTCCCAGAAGCTTCAACAGCTTGCTTCACATCCTGTACCTACTGGCGTTGTAAATGAGGCATTTTCAGTGGAAGAGTCACAGTCAGGACTGGAACAACAAGCCAGTGCTGACACACCTAGTAAAGTTATAGGTAGGTATATTTTCAGCACTGTTGTGACTGGTTAACTGCAATATGTATTCAGATTTTTTGTGGAAATCTTTATATCTGATTTGAATAAATTATAAATGTATTTCCTTGTGACCCTGTACAGGTATAAATGAGCTTATTCAGTCACTCCAAAGGATTCAGACAGTGCTCAAGTCTAATGGACACAGGATTAGTGAAGACATGACCCTTGTGGCTCAACTATTGACAAATCCAGAGTTCCAAAAGGTGCTGGCTGTTCACAATAAGGTGCAAGAAACATGGTGTTTGAACAGACCCCCAACACCAGTCACAGATAATGCTCAGGCACTATTAGCTGAGGTATGTGTGAATTTATTAATGTATGAAGCATTTAGTTTTATAAGCATTATTTTTCCAGTATTCCCTAAGAAGTAGTTGATATTGGCTATGTATTTAGTATTCAAAAGTTAATTATTTGATTCAGATAAGAAGGAAAAGAAGATATTTAACACCTCTAACTTTTAAGTGTAAGGTGATATATGATAAAATACTATTTTGAGAGACAGATTTTCTAGTTACTGCTATTGACTTATTTTTTTTTTTCTTTCATTCTTTCTTTCGTATTTCTTCTTTCATCAGCATAGTTAATAATCTGAACTTTAACTAATATTGAAAAGAAACAAGAAGTCTAAGAAGATAAGAGTCAAGCTGTATATTCATTCATCACCTTTCCAGAGAATCTCAATCCCCTTCCAGAGTCTTCAAGAACTACAAGAATACTCTGTACCTGAGGCAGCAGAACTAATTGACATACTCAACAAATACTCGATGGAAGGGCTCTTATATGCTCACGACAGAATTGCTGAGAGGGAGCCTTTACCTGTCGGGAATCTACCAGAGGAGGAAGTTCTGGACAGAGTTTCTCATTACCCAGAGGACAGTGTTAAGATTGTTCGCATCGACAAAACTAATGAGCCTCTGGTAAGATCTTTAATTGTGATGATTGCATAAAACTTGGAAGTGTTTTTCATGAGAAGCATTACCAACCCTTGTCTTTTTATGTGGTATTGATATAAACATAAAAGTAAATATTGTATATCAGCCATTTACATAGTTAACATGTGATATCCATATTTTTCCTATTGAAAAAGTGAAAGAAAGGTAATTTCTTTTTTCATAATAGTTTAGAAAAACATATCATAATGGATTTCACTTTTCTTTCAGGGGGCAACTATTCGAAATGAAGGTGACTCAGTAATAATTGGTCGAATTGTAAAAGGTGGTGCTGCTGAAAAATCTGGTCTCCTTCATGAAGGGGATGAAATATTGGAAGTCAATGGTGTTGAAGTCAGGGGCAAGTCTGTGAATGATGTCTGTGACATGCTGGCTGGTAAGTCTGAAATTTTACTCCATTACATATAAGTACACTTGGTGTATACATTTACATTGATTTTTCCCATTTGAATTTGTTACTGTCATCTTTAATCCCGTTGTTATTTTTCAGGTATGACAGGCACTTTAACGTTTATCATCATCCCAAGTGGAACCCAGCAACAGCAGCCTCCCCCAACACGACCCCCTATCACCCAGACCATACATGTCAAGGCACACTTTGACTATGACCCAGAGGAAGACCTTTATATACCCTGCAGGTCAGTTTTACGTGTAGTGATGGACAGAAAATAATATGTGTGTAGATATATTAGTTAATTTCATTCTCACTTATAGAGACATTCAATTTGGGTATTTGCAGTATAGCAATTTCAAGGAAAATTGAAGAGAAAATGTAATGAAAATTCATGAACTTCATGATGCTTAATACTTTTACCTTTGCTCTTTTTTATATCATCTAAAGAATCTTCCATCTTTGCAAAAAGTTCATCACCGAAACTAATTTCTTTATTTGTTTTTTTATGCAAACTGCAGGGAGCTGGGCATGAGTTTCCAGAAAGGAGACATTTTACACATTATCTCTCAAACTGACCCCAACTGGTGGCAGGCCTATAGAGATGGAGAAGAGGACCAAACACTGGCAGGACTTGTTCCTTCCAAATCTTTCCAACAACAGTAAGATTTTTGATAATCATTATTTGCTAATGTGAGAAAATACATTGACTGATATCTTGAAACGTGTTATTATCAGGTTATATGTGATAGTAGCATTGGGTTTGACTCCAGTTCATTGTTTAAAATCTTTATTTTTTTATTTTTTTATTTGTTCATATCTTTTGTGCGATTATTAAGCCATATTCTGATGATAACCTTTGCATTGCAGCCGTGAAGCCATGAGACAGACTGTGGTCGGAGACAATAACAACAAGGAGAAACCCAAAAAAGGGAAACTACTATGTGCCAAAAAGCATCAGAAGAAAAAGAAGAAAAAAATGCTCTATCCAAATTACAATGAAGGTTAATATGATTTTTCTCACTTTCTTTTTATTTCTCTTTTTTTGCTCTGTCATAATATCTTTTGCTATTATACCGTAATTGATGATTATTACTAATACTAAAAATAGGAGAGCTTAGCATGACTTGTATGGCTGAAAATGTCTTACATGTGGAAGTGAATAATAGTGTATGTGATGATGGGTGAATGATTCTTTGTTGCATGGTATGTCCTGTAAATAATTAAAAAATAGCACAAGGGAATGCATAGATTATGCATGGAATTAACATACATTACATAATAGACTTTTACAGATTAATGTAATAATGAGTACATGATGAATGTCCTGGATCTGAAAAGTAACAATGAACAATATTTTTTCTTTTACTACAGTAAGAATTTAAGTAATGTTATCAGTCATTTCCTTTATACAGTATGTCATCCAGCGTGTCATGTACCCATTGATTAGGTAGTTACTTTAAATATAACATGGAAGGAGAAGCTTATGTTGGCTAACAAGGACCTTTCTAAACAATGCAAACTCTTTACTTCTTTTCTACAATATTTTTCATCTTCCTTACCTGCTTGGCCTCTCTGGCTCAGCACGGAGCAACTCTCCACTCCCTCTGCCAGGAAGAGGTGGGCCGGGTACTGATATCCTAAATGAGACGGAGAACTCAGGAACCCAAGCACGGAGTAGGGTGTTAACTCTGAGACTTGCTCTCCCAGCTTGCCAGTGTATTAAGGGCAATACACTGAGGAGACGATGCAGCTCATTGTCTGGGGTGGTGGGGTAGTGATAGTGAACGTTGTGATCATAACTGTATCTCTCATGTTCTTTACCAGTCCCGGCTTGTGCATGTCATCAGCATTAGTAGAGTTCAGGTGTTTTGCTTTTATTTTTGTGTATATTTTTGCTGTGGAGGTTTTATTTGGCTTGGTTTGTGTTTTGAATTGTAGCACTTTAGAGGGTTGTTGATGATACTGTGTATATACATTCTTCAAAATCTCAGTGTGGCTCTTCCTTTTCTGCACACAAGAGATTCCTGGCTTCTGAAGAGTAATCCTTTTCCTGTTTTTACAGATTTTGATTCGGAAGAAATCCTCACTTACGAAGAAGTTGCTCTTTATTATCCACGAGCCAACAGAAAACGACCCATTGTTCTCATTGGACCTCCCAATATTGGTCGGCATGAACTCAGGCAAAAGCTCATGGAGGACAGAGATAGATTCGCTGCTGCCATTCCACGTGAGTTAACACCTTTTTGTAGTATCTTGCAAATTTTAAAAGAGTGATACCACCTTGAAAATAGATTACTGAATTCTGTTAATATTTTGGTTGATAGTGACTTGCCTATTTTATCCATAGGTCATTCATGTTTAATATGTTGAGAGAAATAGAATGAATAGCTTTTTAATTTCATAAAAATAGCTGTAGTTTTCAAATTGCATCCACTGACAATAAATGCAAAATAATTGCATTTCATCATATAAGTATTGTACCTATAAGCAAACACCTATCCACAGACACATCTCGCACACGAAGAGAAACTGAGTTGGATGGTCAGGACTACCACTTCATATCTAGAGCGCAGTTCGAGGCAGACATTCTCTCTCGCAAGTTCGTCGAGCACGGGGAGTATGAGAAAGCCTATTATGGGACCAGCATAATGGCTATCAGAGCTGTGGTGAACTCAGGAAAGATTTGTGTGCTGAATCTTCACCCACTGTCACTCAAGATCCTCAAGAGTTCTGACCTCAAGCCTTTTGTGGTGTTTGTTGCTCCTCCTTCATTAGAGAAGCTGAGACAAAAGAAGCAGAAATTGGGAGAGCCAGTCAAAGTAAGTTCTTATGTGTACCCTCTAACGGATAGCAAAGGATGGAAATCTTGTCCGTGGATATTGATGTATTCTTTTCTTTTTATCTTGAATTTGGGAAGAAAAGGTTGGTATATTACAAAAGAATGAATGATAAGGAATTGATATATATTAGAAAGATAGGAAAATTGTTACACTATGAATTGAATTTGTAAAAAGTGGGTTTGTTTGAGCTTCCCCCACCCCACAATATTAAGATTTTCACTCGTATGTATAATTGGTATATGCAATATTCACATACCAAGTTATATACTTTGTTTAGTTTTATGTAGCGATATGAGACAGACATATATCCTAAGAGATAGGATGAATAACTTTCATAGCTCTGCATTGATTAGTAAACAATCATATGATTTCAAGATTTAAGTAATAGAAACCGACTAAAAACAAAGGATGAAACAAAGAAAAAAAAGAACAAGCATTCCAAGAATTATCAAGTTTTTGTATTCTTAAGCACCCTGAATTTTGGAAATTATATGTGACTTCATTTCATTTATGTTACAAGATTTCACATTTATTTTAACTCAGAATTCTTTGCCTCTTCATGAACTGTATCAGAATCATGGCTTATGGCATAGAAATAGGGGTAGTATATATATTTATAAGTATGCCTTGCTTCCCAAAAGTCACAGGTTGCTGCTTGGATAAGGTTTAGGTTGGCACATTTAAGGAAACTTAATCTTGATAGTAGTTTGCTATTAGATTTTTTTCCAGTTGTACAGTGATATGTGATTTCAATACTAAGAACTTTCTTGAAAGATACAGCTGGATCACAATGTCTTAGCATGGTTTCAGGTAAAAGATCACAATTTTATTTACCTAATTTGTTGGTATTTTCCCTTTCCAGGATGAGGAGCTCAAAGAAACAATAGAGAAAGCCAGGGAAATGGAAGAACAGTATGGTCACTACTTCGACCTGATCATCATAAACCAGGATGTGGACCGTGCCTACCATCAGCTGCTACATGAGATTAACATGTTGGAAAGAGAGCCACAATGGGTTCCTGCAGCATGGCTTGCACATGACCAGTGATAGGTACAAATGATTTAGAATGTATTGAAAATATCACAAAGGTTTATTTTGTTTGGTTTCTACCTCTGGAAATATTTGTAAGTAAATAGTAATATCCTTCTAATTTGCAGGTACTGTAGTGCTTCTATGGTGCCAAATTTTTACCTGTGCGCTTCCCTCTAGCCAAAGGCAGAATTCTCCTCAGTGCTGCTGCTCTCAAGATACGTTCCTTGTGTGGAAGTCTCACTTGAAGGGCAGCTGAGTTTTTACAATCAATGATGTGATGGCTTGATGCTACAATCCCTTGTCTGGTGGACACTAGGTGCATGAAATCAGTTGACTGTGTTAAGGTTGTGTTTTGAAAATGGATTATCATATGGAGTCTAACCGAAGGAAATGAAAGAAAAATACAAGGCAGATAACTGCTTTGCTAAATGATTGGACAATAGATTAACATTGTAAATTGACTTTCATTCTAATACCTCCCCTGCCCTGTGTGGACATTTAACTTAGGTAATAAATCTAGACCATGGCTCCATTTACAAAAGGTGGGAAGTTTAAGCCCATTGTAACGGGATAAAATCAGGCAGACAAATGATGGAAGACAAACCAGACAAAAACTGTGGTGTAAAAAGTATTAAGCAATCCACCTTTTGTTGAGGTGGCTCAAGTGTGTGTGATACTAGGCAGAATCTAGAAACACGTTATTACCCTGTAAAGAAGACCCTCAAATCCTTCTTGAGAGTTTAATCTCTTTTTGTTATTTACATTTTCTATTTCTTTTATTTTCCTGTACATAAAATTCTTTTACATTATGTTTGAAAATTTATATACATTATATCTATATCATGTTTATCAAACCTGCAGATTTTTTTTTTTATGTGTCCCTACTTTTCAAATTGAAAACATAATATAAAGGCTCATTTCACCCCCATGTTTAAAGTGTTTTAATGTCATACAGATAACTTTCTATTGACTTCATATTAAATGTGAGATTAAAGAAAGTATTTTATCAATTTTCAAGATAGCTGGAAGCATTTGCTCAGTTACTATAAAAAGTTTTTATTGGCAATGTGCAATAAGATGACTTTTAAAAAAATTATTCTGATCAATTAGCATGTACTTCAGATAGTTTCCTTTGACCCCTTAAATGTTTGTAATGTACATAGAGGTGCCATATTACATCAAAGTTGTGCTTGTAAATCAAACCTGTGACTCCTGATCTGTTTGCAGTGTTAAGCAGCAATAATAATACCTACATACATCCAAAAAAGTGTGTTGTAAAAGTCTTCACTATTATTTCTGTAAGGCTTTAGGATTTAGCTCTGCCATTCACAGAGACAAATAATCTGAGTGTCTTATTATTCAGAATGAATATTGTTTACCATATATTCATCCCTGAGAAGCCTATACAGTGAAGTCTCTCAAAAGCACAAGTATGTGAGAAGTCATGTTTGTGATGCTGACAATATTGCAAATACACACATGAAACTGTAACTTCAGTATTCCAGTGGTGTTTCCCCAATTTGTGTAATTCCTGTATATACTGTTATGATCTTCCTATGTTCACTTTGTTGTAAGTAGAAGCATATATGCCTCATTATAATGAACCATTAAATGATTATGATTCCTAAAAATAAATGTGTATACCAGCTCTGCATTGTTTTTTTCTGTCATTAAAAGGGATTGGAGTTTGCAGTAAGAGTGTGTTTTACACATTCTGAGTTTTCACGGTACTTTTTATTAATTAATTTTGATTTTGCTTTATGTCCTCACCAATATATACGGTCTCATTTTAAAAACAAACATGGTAATTCTGTGTGACCCATGTGTAAGCAAGTAATGAAACTGAAATTCTGAGTGCAGCATGAGTCTCAAAAGCAGGCTCTCAATCTACATCATAAAAAAAATTGATAGGTGAGAATGCTTATTTAATTAACATGAAAGAGTGAACTGGACACATCTAAAGTGTTTAAGAGCAATTATTTGCGTAAATAAAGAAATGATAACTTCAAGCAAAGTGTCCAGTGAGAGTAACACCCAACTCCTTTTCAAATAGGCCATAGATGCACCATGGAAGGAACCTGTAATTGTTTGTTTGCCTGTATGTGTTCTCTAAACAACTGTGCAAAATGTAGCAAATTCTGGCAAAGATAATCTTAATTGGTAAAGCTAAAAGATTTAGATAAAAATTGAGTGTAGATGATAACAGTCCGCCAGTATTAGGGTTGTCTGTGTGGTTCTCTCCAGTGTATCTAATACTTCATCTTTCTTAGTATCTTTGCTATTGGTATGATTTTCTGTAGGATTATTATTTTTACTATACAAGTATTTTCTACTATGAGTATGGAATTAGTTATAAAAAAAAGGTATCAGAATTAGAATTGTTTCCATTATAATCAGCATTCTGTAGTAGCTACACATATGCTTCTTCGTAATTCCATACCCTCCCACTCCCTCTCAAGCCAGAAAGGATATCTAACGTGTCCGGTTTCTTTTATTTCAATTGGCAATTTAGAACTGTCGCTGGTAGTCAGTATTTAAAAAAACTAGGATATAGCTTGTCATAAATAGGCACATTAGGGACTTGTTTTAGCTTTTCTTTTCTATTAATTTTTCATGTTGAGAATGAAATAAGTGTTAGAGGCCATAATTTTTTTTTCCCATTCGAAGTCGAAATTTTATAGTAGATAATCAGTTTTATGAGGCAGAGAGAGAGAG